CCACCGTGCTGCAACAAAGCAACAATAATTATAAATAACTTACATGTTCAAAAAGGAGTAGGAAGAAGCATAATCTTATTTAATCCCACCCCCTTTCCACTATTTAGTAATTAATAGTCTACACTTTTTCTTCCTGTTCCCCTGTCCATCAGAAATTCTTCATTACAATTACATTACATGTTACATGTGTTTTTTATTTATTTATCTATTTTTATATTTTTACATTTATACTTTAAATATATACTTATATAAACATACTTGTGCACCTACACATATATACACATCACTGTTGTGAAAATAGTGGGTGAGAACACCCGATCAGAGCCCTACCTCCTTCCTTTACTTTGCAAAAACCACAATTTTGAACTGAGTCATGCTGGGACATTGCTTCAGTTCTTCACTTCCAGGGGTGTCAAATTCCAGGCCTCAAGGGCCGGTGTCCTGCAGGTTTTAGATATCACCCCGGGTCAACACACCTGAATCAAGTGATCAGTTCATTACCAGGCCTCTGGAGAACTTCAAGACATGTTAAGGAGGTCATTTAGCCATTTAAATCAGCTGTGTTGGATCAAGGACACATCTAAAACCTGCAGGACACCAGCCCTCGAGGCCTGGAGTTTGACACCTGTGACTTAATCTATTCCACAGCTTCACTCCACACACAGAGATGCAAAAACGTTATCATTTTGTACGGATACAATGATGTTTTAAATTTAATTCCCCCTTCAAATTGTATCCCTGTTTCCTTTTAGAAAACAATTTGAGAATACTGTCAGGAAGTAGATCGTTTATTACTTTATACATAATTTGTACTGTGAGAAAATGAACCAGGTCTGTGAATTTTGGTATTTTTGATTTTAAGAACAGCGGATTTGTATGATCTCTGTAGCCAGTTTTATGGATTATCTTTATGGACCTAGATTGATGATAGTAATGCAAATATGGTGAAATCAGTGAACAATATTGAATGTGGAATGATTTGTGATCCAGATGTGCTTTACTTTACTTTACTCATGGTGATATATCATGTGTGTGTTTTATGAGAATTTCAAAAAAGGTATCAATGGGTATTTTTCACTAATTTAAAGTTAGACTGATTTTCAGTCTGTTTCCTTGGATTGTTTGTTCATCTTTCCATGTCAACCGCCACACTGTCCAGGTGGTAGTAACCATTATCATCCACCTGATGGCCTTGTAGATCCCTCTTCCTACACTCCTGTGCTGGTTTAGTGTTTGGTTGGTTTAGTGGTTGGCTGGATGGTTGTGGATTTGGATGCTGCAGGTGTCACTTTTCTGATCATCATCACACAGCTATTTCTGCAGATTTAGTTTATTATTTACACACTGTAAATCTGTAGTAGCTAAATAAACCTCACACCGTATTCATCCAAGATCATTTCACAAAGTAAACACCAAAGTTTAAAAGTATTTTTAAAAATAAATTGTATTTGAAAAAGCTGAGGCAAAAGAATGTAAACCAAAGTCACAAATAAAATTAACCAGAATAAATTATCGAAATACACTTAACCGGAGACATTATATGAGAGGGATGTCACTAAAATAACTGAAATACAAGGGAAAACACTGCAATAGTAAACGTGGTAGAATTAGGCTATAACTTTAAGAGAGTTTTTAACCGTTTTAAACCTTAATTTCGTCTCAAAGCAAGCAAATTATTTTGTGGATATATTTAGATTGGAGTGGTAGCTACGCCTTGAGTTTTGGTAATGGTTAAAAATAACAAGTCAGATAACTGCTTTGGGGTAGGCCTATTTCAAGACGACTGCCCACTTGGAAGAAGCTTTGAGGCAACTGTTGTTGCGATTTACATAAAACTGAATTGAGAATTTTTAGATTAAACGAGTGAAACTAGTTGACGTACCGTGGGATTTGTACAGGTAGCGCACTGAATCATGGGAAAACTATTGAAACTTCAAGTAATGCCTTAACAGCAAGGGCACATATTTTATTCGTAAGACGTATTAATACATTAATAAAAAATATCTTTAAAAGCAAGGTTTTGTGAAAATTTTAGTATCTTTGTGTTTAAACGTAACGTGTTTCCTATGTGTCCCCCGTGTTGATTTTCCGCCGGTGACCTATCTTCACAACTTTAGTATGTCCGGTTCCCGTCACAGTATTGCTGTTGCTGCTGAAGTTACCATTAGCAACTGGGCAGCGCCCGGCTCGACACCTTCCGACGTCGCTGATGTTGTGCTGCCAAATACAGTAGGTAGTTAACGTTTCCTTGCTTTTCACTTGGGATCTGTTTTAAATAATACCCGTTTCTAGATACTTTAACGCTAAACAGTGAGCCCGAGAAGTATCTGCGTTTACTGGGAGTTTTTTGTGCACGCTCTGCGGTTGTCTGGCCAGCTAGCTGAACGTGCTAGCTAACGTTATCAATAACCTGACTGTTTAGCTAGCTCACTGTGTGTGTGTAGGTGTGTGTGCACTTGCAGCAGTACGCGTGTTTGAAACGAAGACGTGGCCACTTTGAGGAAGTTTGCAGTGTTTTATGACATATGTCTGATCCCGAGCTACTATTTCTGATTCAGAAAGCGACGAGTCCGTGTGTCATGCCTTTGATATCTCATCTGTCTAGCTGACTCG